AATCACACATGTGGAACCTCATTTAAGCTCAAACAGTGTGAATGGAGCTTCCAAACACAAGGGTGACTCGATAACAGTGTAGACACGAGAAAAGTTGGGTCGTTCTATCTAAATCAATCAAGCTCAAGAAGCGCGAGCTACCTAACACGAGAACGACCCTTAGACACACGGCTCAAAGTGGTTTACTAAGGGATGATATGATCGGGCCGGCCAACATTTGGGTCGTGGACTAAACCTATGCCTCCATCTTCCTCGCTAGCAACAACGTGAATGCTACGCATCATGTAAAGGGGGATCTATCGCACAAGAACGAAACGAACGGCACAAGTCTCACATGGCTGCCTAGGGGCTCAATCATTCGTTCTAATTCCCTAAAATTCATGCATAGGAAACTGTGAAAAGAAAGTAATCGATTCAAAACATCTATCGGCTCACAAACACATGAGAAATGAACCTATGCACAAACCTAATACAAGTCTCAATCATCATAATAGGATGCACATAATCACAAGAAAATCATCCATAGATCATGCTAATACCCACGAGATTCAAAACAAATCACCAAAGGTGACTCTATGATCATGCAAATGTAGAAGTTGTTATGCCCAAGCCCTCAAATTTTAAAACTTTGGCCATACATCAAGGCTCCAAGCCTTCGAAATCACACCAATCATTCACACAAACATGCATAATGAACTACCACCCCCCTCCCCCCCCCCCCCCCCCCCCCCCCCCCCCACCACACACACACACACTTAAGCTTGACATTGCCCTCAATGGCGTAAAGTAAGGAGGTAGAACGTTGTTACTGGATACGATGTGAATGTTGGTGGTAGGGATCGGAGGTCGGGCGAGATCCGGAAGAGCAAGGAGACGGCAAAACACCACCAAAATCTCTCCAATGGTCTTCTTATTGGAGCGGAAAGCAAACAAACTGATGGTAGATGGTTTGCCTCCCACCAAGCGCTTCTTTAACGTCGTGAGCCGGACGGTTTCTCCTCATGTTTCGGTCCACCCTAGAACCTCCTTGAAGTTGAGGTTCTCGTCGATGAGGTGATGTCTCAAGTCGCGAGCATTGGACGAGTCCATGATTGAGGGCTCGTGAACTTGAGTGGCTTTGAGGCCCCACCCACGAGATCTCTCCTCCTTTCCTTCTTCCTTCTTCTCCTTGCCCCATACCATGTAGTGCATCCTCGATTTACCACCATCGCATCCACCAAGAGGGATCGCCGATGGTTTGGCGTTGGTTTGGCAAAGAGCCGCAAATGGGTCCTTCTCCAAAAGCGCATCGAGGTCGGGTGGAAAGCTTTCATAGCCCTCGTAACTTGTGGATGCTTCATCCACCTCGACCTTGTCCTCATCTTGGACTCCACTTGCACCTTTTTCTTCTTCATCAACCTCCCTTCCTTCTTCTTCAATGTGTTCCTCCCCTTCGGAACAATCAAGATCTTCTCCTTCTTCAATGCTTACTTCCTCCTCTTCAACCTCTTCTTTCTCCTTCCCATTCATGTCTCCAAGCACGAATTTGAGGGCAAGATGCCATGAAAGGTCATAGAAGGGATTCTCTTGCTCCTCCACACTCGTGTCTTGGTCTTCAAAGTTGCTTTGGGGAAGGGGAAGATGATGGGAGTCGTCAAAGCAACCTTCTTTTTCGTTCTCACCACGGGAGCTCTCCGGGGTGAGTTCATCTTGCTCCATATGGTTGTCATTGATCGCCCTTTCAACCTCCTCGTTCTCCTCCAATAATGAGAGGCGATAGCTTGCACAAGCTTGTGCCACCTTCTCGTCTAGTGTCAAACCAGGAGGAGGGAGGGGTTGGAAATCCGTGTTGGAGCTTGTTCTTGCAAAATTCTCCATGGCAAGCTCCAACTTGGACTTTGCTTTGAGTTGTGGGAGATCCAAGTTCGAGCACCCTTCATCGGTGCCTCGAACAAACCGCTCCATCATGAGCTCCAATTGGCTCTTCGGCTCGGGTTGTGGAGTGGCACATGGTCTTGAAGAATGTCTCATGAAAGCCTCCATTGCCAACTCCAACTTGGATTTCTCCTTGACTTCAGGAGAGAAGTTTTCTTCATATGGGGGAGCTTCTTAAAATCCCCAATGGTATGCTTGTTCTTCTTGGAAGGGAGTTTGATCATAGAACCCGCTTCTTTAGCTTCCACCTTTTTCACTACTCCATGAAGCCCCGAGGTACCCCCATTCGGGTGGTTGTGGATACCCCCCACATATTGTAGAAGCCATTGGGATCCATGATTCAACCTACAAACACAAAAATAAAATCAAACAAATACAAACCACCCTTCTAAGAGAAGAGTGGGTCAACAAACACAAAACAAAACAGCTAAAGTAACGGCTTAACCCTTTTTCAAATAACCTAGAATGGTTCCCCGGCAACGGCGCCAAAAACTTGACTCGTTCTAACTACAACATCCCGATCGACGGCCAAGTATAACCGCCGACCGGGTGTAGCATAGGGCAAGCAAGCAATAAGAATTAATAGTACCACGGGGATCTAGGCTTACCCTACTTCAGGTTTAGGGTTCCTTATCTAGCCAACCTAGGATAGTGATTGATAGAATTAAACTAACTAACCTAGACTAACCACTAACCTAGCTACTTACAAGGTGGGGAGCTCTCTTGGGTTGAATCGTCCTAGGTCCATTCTTTGTATCGATGTTGGGTATCCTCCTAGCTCGATCGACTCAACTACACTACCGTTTGAAGATGGACTCCATCGGGAACGACCCGAAACGGCGAATCGATGGATGGATAGTGCTCTATTCAACCTAGGGTTTCGTATAATGCCAGGAGACCGGTCGAATCAACTCCCTCGGAGACTACCGAACATTATATGATAGGAGTTGTTGTAGGTTTATGTTGCTTTAACTATCCTTGAAGAATTTCTCCTAAACCACTTTTGATATTTTGCAGCCATAGAAGCAAAGTGTTCTATAGCTTGTTCTGCAGATAGTCACGTGAAATCTCCTTACGCTGGCTAATTTACCAGAACAATGTTGTTTACATCGAGCCCTTTACCAAAGAGATTAGTGATCTATTCTTGCCCAAAGTAGGGTGAGGGAAGGCATTTAGAAGTTCTTGGACTCGTTGCCAAGCTTCATAAAGGGTCTCGGAAGTGTAAAAGCGTGAAATCTCTTCTAATTGACTAATTTACCACAACAGTGGTGTTTATATTGAGCCCTTTATTGAAGAAATCAGCAAGATATTCTTGCTCAAAGCAAGGGTGAGGGAAGGCATTGAGAAGCATTTGGACTTGTTGTCAAGCTTCATAAAGGGTCTCAGAAGTGTGTTGTCTAAAGTGTGAAATCTAATCCTGTAAGTAATCAATTTTCCACGGAGGGAAGAACTCTTTGATGAATGCTTGTGCCAAATCATTCCATGTACAAAATTTCCCCAAGGGTTGGCTGTTTAGTCACGCTTTTTCTTTTTTTGCAGAAGGTTAAAGGAAAAAAGTAGGCAGATTACATCTAGGGCGACGCCTTGGTGCTACACAGAGTCAAACATCTCCATAAGCGTTTTCATACGTTCGACAAGATTGTTGTTCTCTATTCTTTCAAAACGTCCAACATTCTAGATCATGTAAACTGTAAAGGTACGATTCTCGAAATTTGAAGCAGTTATTTGTGGTGGAACAATGCTAAAAGCTATGTTGGCAACTTAAGGATTGGTGTACTCAAATGAAGTTTGTGTAAACCATGTTCCATATATGTTACAGTTCTAAGAGGGACTTATCGTCTTCCAACTCTTAAGAACTTGTTGAACAGAGTTAGTGTAGAAAGAACTAGGGTTAATACTTTAGTTTGGCCCGAACTATACACAAAGTTTCTACTTTGGCCCGTGTTTTCCGAAATTGCTATCCTGACCTGAACTATGTACCATACTTCCTATTCCTAACTTGGCCTGGAGCCGGCTTTGACCGTCAAATTTGACGGTCAACGGAATTGACTAACGTCAATGGCTAGCTCACTTGCCACGCCATTCTATAGTTATTTTATTTTATAATAATACTAATGAACGAAAAATAAAAACCCCTCTTTATCCCTCTTTTTGAATTTCTGTATTCACTTTAAACCTCAATTTAACCCATTTTGTTTATGTATTCATTTTGTTTGAATCCCGCCAAACAGATCAATTATTTCCCAACCCCTTCTTCCCATAAACCCTAATGACTCAGCCTTTTCCTTCTCAGCAGCCGCCACTCCCCGATTGCAAATGAAGCAACTTCTCCACTACCACACTTCTCCCATCCGCCTCCGCACGTCGGAGCTACTCAAAATCCGGATGGGAATCCACTTCCCGACTCTCATCCCCGGCCAGAACCTCGTCCTCACCAAAATTGATGCGAAAGGCCGAGTGGCGGAGATCAATCGTGTCAAGATTTCCCACCCCGACGTAGTCCTCGATGAGCCCCTGCTGATTCATGGCGAGGAAGAATCCGGCGCGGCAGAGAGAGGTGAAAGTGTTGGAGAGGCAGGGAGGGTTGTCGGCGGCGGAGGAGAAGAGGAAGGAGGATGGATTTGGGGTATTTTTTTTTATTATTATTAAAAAAAAATGAATACATAAACAAACAATAATTTTTTTATTTCGTGCTCGCTGATATGGCAAATGAGCTGGCCATTGACTAACGGCAATGGAGTTGACTGTCTAATTTGACGTTAAACCCGGCTCCGGGCCAAGTTAGAAAGTATGCTATATAGTTGAGTCCAAGATATCAATTATGGAAACCACGGGCCAAAGTAAAAAGTATATATATAGTTCAAGCCAAACTAAGGTATTAACCCAAAGAACTATGCACTACTTTCCTTTACGTACTTTTCTACTTTCCTTTACGTACTTTTCTATTTACTTATCGGAAGTTCCACAATTATAACGACCTCGAGCAATTCTTATAAGTTCTATCTTCTATTTCTTGCTTTTGGTTTGTGGCTCATACCCAGTTGCTTCCACGAATAAAACTATCAGAAGATGAGTTTTATGTTTTTGACAAATTCGCAGCGAAAGAAGTGTTTTTGACACTCCCTACACACTTGTAAACAGAATACACGTAAACAGCAAAAGAAAACAAACTTTCATCCCCAAGCAAATGACATGTCAACCACTCATCCACCTAAACCTGTCTCGCAAGATCCACCTTACGGATTGAACAAATCAAAGCGTGCGCAAGGGAACCACTGAAAGGATTGCTAAATACTTGTAGAAAAAGGGTACCGAATAATAAAGTGTCCTTTTCCCTGTGCATGATACGTCCGCATGTGAACTGAGCTACAGGCAGCTTAACACGCATGCATATTTATCAAAATAGAGAAGGACCGCAAAACCTGCCGGCTAAGAAAGTAAGAAACTCTGTCTACCTACAAATTCACCTAATTTTATACCCTCCTACTACCCAATTGCGGCCCTCAGATTCAGATGCTACGAAGAAACCATTTCAACAAAAAGGAATCCCTTGCTGCTGCTGGAGCAAGGGAGCATTAATAATAAATGATACAGCACCTTTTTCTTTTCTCCTCCTAATCCAGGCGTAGAGTTATTGGAAATTTCGAAGCGTGTGACTTTGTTCAGTCGATTTCCACCGGCACCTTCTTCTCCAGCATCGATGTGCCACCGAAAATCGTCAGCTGGAATTCCTTTGAGTACTTTGTCCACTAAAACATCAACAAGCATGTTATAAGTTAATTATTTCTGCCCACAGCAAGATGAAAGAAAACTGTGGAACCCAATGCAGGTAATACACAGAACTGACAGAAGTAAAATGATGACATAATGTCATGGTCGTGACCAGGGGGTAGCAACACAGAATGTTCGTATTGATTACAAAATACTTGGCTACTTTTCCTTCGGGACTTTCATCAATGAAAATGATGAAGGCCATTAATCAGTTGCAACTTACATTTTCATCGCTCATCCTTTCAAAACCAAATCTCTTAGTCCAGATTGACTCGGCTTCCTCAGCAGCCGGAAGCACCAGGCTCTCCACTTTTAATGAGCATAGAAATCTCTCCACGCATGAAAAGAGGGCTTGAAAGTAACCCTAGAAAATAAAAGTGCATCAATCAATATCCAAAACCACATAAAATCTCAGGACAGAACCGAGAGCAGACCAATAGCCAACAACACCAGATACTTACTTTCCCCTGATGCTTTCGACTAGTTGCCACTAGGGGAAGTTCAGCAACTTCACTGCCGAAAATTCTAAGAAGGCCAGCAGATACCACAACATTCCTGCACAGTGCACCATATTTATGTACATCATTAACAAAATCCCATAATGGGGGCAAACAATAAAATAAAGAAGAGGCTTTGCTTTAACATACTTCACAGTCAGAACCACGCAATACATCCCCTGGAATTCTTGTCCAGATATGTTCCTCCTGCCGAAGGAAAAATAAGATTAGCACCCGCAATCAAGTGATTTGTGAAATAAACATACTCAGCACAAGGATACAAGACAATTTACCCAGACAAAAAAAAAACATAAGGGATTAAATTGAATGACGAGAAGTTCCCAATGAGAAAGTTCCAGATTTTTGGTAAAGAAATACTCATCATCCTATAAACAAGATTCACGACTCCTGTTTCATGGATGAGAATCATAAAGCGACAAAATAAATTCAATAGAACCTGACACGTTGCTTTAAGTACCAACTCCTTTATTTAAAAAAAAAAGGGTTTTAATGCTCGCTTCACTTGTTTTGATGATGTTATTTTACATTTCTCATGGTATGAAGATTAAGCAGAGAACAAACAGTCAGCTTAATAGAAACCAAAACAGGTCCAAGCAGAGGTAGAAGGAAACAACTTACCCATACACCATAAGAGGAATCAGATCACGACCTTTTCTAGCTTTGATGGGATCAAAACACTCCTGCAAACAAGTTGGGATTGAATGTGAATGAGAACTGAAGAAGCTTCAGGGTCAAATTTAGCAGAGCAAGCAAGCAAATTGACGAATAGTACATTTGAAAGAAGACTATTATAAAAGTGCAAAGCACTGAGATATGAAACAAAACAGAAAATCAACTCACGCGAAAAATTGATGTAGCTTTTGAAAGGAAGGGAAGATCTTCTTCACGCCGTTCTTTTCCCATCAGAATGTGCCATTGGACATTAGCTCTATCAATGTTTAATCCTCTATCTGAATGCTTTTGACATACGATGTCCAGCAGCGAAGTAGATACCGTCCGCACTCCACTTGAAATAGACTTCTGCAGTGCGACATAAATCCGGTAACATTCATTACAGCAAAACCATTTTCCTTCCGGTATTTCCTACAAGGAAATTTCAAAAAATGGTAAGTCAATATCCTGCTGATGTGCCAACAGTGCATAACAATTTACAGCAAGATTTACCAACTTACTTTTAAATCACACAGACCACGCTCCCTCAAGCAACCAACGTGGAATTCCCTCTCACACTGGGAGAAATGAAGATGAGATTAACAACCATATAATTAAAGGATGAAAGAGAGCTACGGTAAGGGGGAAAGTCAATCAAGCATGCATACCTGATCACAGAAGATAACTGTCCGGTCATCGAAAGTACCAGAAATAAAATCACGAGCCCTGAAAAGGTAACCATACAAAAGCTTTGAGCTTGCTCTGGTTTAAGAAAAGTCAAACAGGGTTCGAAGTTTCAGATCGACAAACCTACAAACAACACAACCACCAACATCATATTCTGGTGTTTGGACAACCCGCTTCAACCGGATGACATTAGCTCTAGCAAAATTTTCTTCAGGGCCAACTTCCTTGCAGTCTGGACAATGCCAAGGACCTTCTGGAATATACTGCCGCTCTATACATGCTGCAACAAAAACAACTAGATCAAATACGCATGAAAAAGGCAATTAAAGCATTCCATACTTCCATGCAAGTAGAACACATAGTTCCTATTTCTGTACCCACAGAAGCACAGAAACATACATGTCAATCAACTAAACTTTACAGAATGGACAGAACATGGACAGCTGGAATCTTATATTATAATCACGCCAAGTTACAAGCTTAAAAACGATTAAAAGAAAGAGATAGAGACCTTGATGGAAAGCCTGAGGACAATTATCACAATAAACAAGATCCCCTCCGTCTCCACATTTTGCACACATATCATCACTGACACCAGTTACAAGATTTTGCCCATTTGCCAATGAAATGGCTATATCATGGAGGCTCACTCCATTAGAAGTATAGATGTGACGATATCTGCACAAAGAAATTATAACCCAATTAACAATGAATCGCAATGGAAAAAGGTCCCACATAGTTCAAAAGCTACACACGGTTGACGCCTTGCAGCCATTCCAGCATGGGCTTCAAACTGTGAAGGACTGATCTGAGTTGGTGAAAAAAAGACACCAGATAAGAATAAGATACAGAAATCCAATTCCACATGATCCTAATGATCATAATATAATAATATTCTGACCTCTTTCTTACAGCAGTTGCAAAATATACCGTTGCCCAACTTATAGCCACTCAACATTTCCTGAATAAAAATAGAATACGATTTAATGCCAAAATGATGCATTTGTGTGAGATGCCACTAAGATGAGAAACCAAAGAACTTACCAGTCCTTTAACATAGTAAGCTAATTCAGCACCATCAGGCAGACCGTTTGGCATAAACAGTAACCGATGGAGATCATTGTCCCTCCTGAGATTGATAAGAGTGGCAAATTAGGGAAGGAACAGGACATCAAAAGATAATGTGACTAGGGAGTTGCACAAGAGGATGTTCAATACAAACCCCTACAAAAGGATTTTAGACGCAGTGAAAAGGAGGAGCTGCGTGGAATAATACCTTCTTTTTGAATTATTTTTCCGAACAGAGCTAGAAGCATGGTCACGAGCTCTGCAAAATGGAAGTTACCATGATTTCTAAGAGTTGTGGGGTTTGACAAGTTGGAAATGAAAAGGGGATAATACAATATAGACATTTTCAACATAGAAACGAAAAAGATGGAGCAACCGCTTCATTGAACGTTTTCTCCCAGATGTAGTCTCCATGTGTGGCTGCTGTCTGATTGAGCTGTTATCTACATAAGAGCCATACCCAGTCCAGTAACTTTCCTCGAACGCTTGACTAGAGCAGCTGCAAAATCAACAAAATTATCATCAGCAAATAACAAGCAAAAGTCAAACATAAATAATGACCACATTTTCAGGAAAAGGAGTGCAATCTACACCTAGCTTTCTCCAACAATCTACATCAGAAGTGACCGCAAAATTGACAGATCTCTGGTCTAGAGTCGTAGTAAAGAAACATACATCGATATACATACAACTCGACAACAAAGAATGCACTGCCACAATCTTTGGGCATAATTCTGCTGTTAGTTCAATTATCTATGTTAATGATCCCGAACAAGTTCTCTAGTTTCTCAATCATGGGATGAAAAAGTCTCAAAGCTAGATTATGTCCATACAAGTCAAAGAAATTCATCATCAGTAGGAAAAAAACTAAAAATTTGAACCAAAGACAAAATGTACTAAAGTAAAAAACCAGATGCTTATATATCATCAAAGAATATTAAGAATTAAAGTAAGCAAGAGAATCACATGTGCAGCGAATGACTGGTACTATCCTGATAGTGCTAAGTGGGTCGTCATGCTCATGGCAGCTCCATGACGCAATGCATGATTACCAACAGAGCAAACCAGAGCAGGATAATTTTTACCATGCCCACGTGTTCATTAATGCCACACATTCTGAGGCATTTCAAATTATGATTACGCTTTCCAGATTTGGGTGGATGTCACAGGATCAACCTTCAATTATCTTAAGTTATTTTATTACAAGTTACAGTTCCACAGGATACCACTTAAACACATTATAAAAAGATTGCAAGCTTAATGAAACCATTAAATGGCTTTCGAGCATCAGACAGATGCTCAAAAATGCAATCACAGAAGGCAAAATGTTAACTTGGCCAAACCAGCATAGAGGAGAGTTCAAGACGAACCAAAATAAATTAAATTAAGAAAAATAAAAGAAATTAAATAGCCGAACTGGCAATAAGAGGAGATAGACGAAATCTCATAAGGTAGTAATTGTTACCTGACATCAGACTGAAGTAAATAACTAGGCTTTTTGACAAAGTAGGTATCGTCTTCAACCATTCCATAGCTCTGTTGGAACCCAACTATACACCATTTCATTTCATTTCAAAAATGAAAAGTCAGGTTACGAACATAGATGGAGGTACTTAATGGATCAGTTTAGAATAAACGGGTTGGAGAGTCAGATGTCACCTATCCAGTTCTGGAAGAACTCCTCATTGAGGGAGGAACCAACCGCATCTCTTATAACTTCCTCAACTTCATTCAATTGAGCAGTTTTCACCTCTTGAATGACACTACTGATTGGCTTGCCATTGTCTAAATATATGTGGCTGTTTGGATGCCTGGTCTTAACACCAGCATGCTGCTCAAACTCGTATGCACTGAGAACCTGCTCGTACGTTATTTAGTTGCTCAAATATCCAGGAACATCAAGAAAGTCACAGCCAAATGCCAAGAAACCTACCTTCGAGAAACTGCAGAAAGAACAACCACAAAGATATCCGCCACCTGCTATGACCCCCTCTAACTCTCGCTGGAAAATGAGCAAATTGAAAATCAAGACATGCCTTGCTCTTATTCCTTCATCAGAATTCAAACGTTAAGATGCCCTGCCAGATTGAACCCGGGATATAGGAGACAACATGAAGGATAAGAGACTTACCTCTGGAGCAAAAGAGATATATCTGACCCGAGCGCCATCAAGTATTCCAGTGGCAAGCAACTTCTTCACATTCGTCGGATAGTTGGCTAAAAGCTTCTTAGACAGGGTAGTTTCCATAGTGGGCATGAACGAGTAAGCATCTTGCGTTTCAGTCGTGTAGACATCGGAATCAGTCCATCCAGAGTATCCCCTACCATATTCCTCGTAGCCATACAATGACTCATGAACATTGTCGTAATCCATGGGCTCGAGCGCGGAAGGAGCCACTGGGGTAGTATCATAATCCTCTTTCCTTTTGCTGAACTTAAAAGTAATCTTCCTAATCCCAGAGGAACTGCTCGCATCCTTGGGAATCTCCAACACCACATGGGTAGTAGAGAATGCACTGGAGGAATCATTGGCAGAATTGTTGCTTTTGTTATCGCTGCTTGGTTCCCCATCCTCGCTCAAAGTCTCGGCGGGGCTGGAAGACCCGGAAGAATGTGACGTAACTTCGCCAGAACCCACTTCATTACTAGTCTTCGCCACAACTTCAGTATTAGTCCTCACCACAACTTCGCCAGAGGCGGCAGCATTATTCTCCCTCGGGGAGATTACTGGGTTTGAAACTTCGGACGCCATGTCCTCATATGAAGCTTCTTTCCCTTGCAGCTCCATAATGACGGAAGGCAACTCCAGTTTCGAATCTTTAGGCTCCGGAGTATCCCCATCTTGCTCGCTATTCAACTGAACTGTCTCGGAACCATTCTTGTTATCTTCCATAACGCCATCGACAGTGACCTCCGGAAAAGCTGCAACTTCCCCCATTCTGAACTGAATCACACTTGCAAGCACTCAATCACAGAAGCAGATTATTATAGCAATGCATGTTGCAGTTGCGGCACCAAATTCATAGAATGAACACTTAGTCCAATTCCTAATTTAGATGAGAGAAAAAGGTTATCAGTACGCCAGAAGACAGAAACAAATCCAGAATGTAACTGTTTTGAGACTGTGGTGGAACCGCTCCCACAAAAATTCAAAAATAGTAACACGAACTAAAACAGGCAAGAAAAGGTTTTAAACAAAAAAAAATTAGTAAGGAGAAGAAAAGCTCTAAAGGTAACCTACCTCGAAACCAATTCAACCCAGGAACCAGAACCATGGAGAAACAGTCACAGAGTCGGAAACCAGATCCATTTGATCTGAGAGGTCCGTGAAATCAACATGTTCTCCGAATTATCATTATTTGAGATGTAAAAAGAAGAAGACGAATCAAATTTGTTCCAATGAAAGGAACTTGGATGGGATTAAGGGAGGAGGGGAAGAGGAGAAGTAGGGAATTTAATTGGGATAGGGTTAGGGTTTTTGTGTTTTTCTTGTCTTGGTTAAAAGAGAAAAATAGGGAGGTGGTGGTGGTGGGGGTAAACTTCTTTTTTGCAGCGGGAACGTGGAGAGCGGCAAAATAGCAGAGAGGAGAACGAAGAGGCTTGGTTCCCGGTCCAGCTTTTTACTTTTTTAGAAAATCTTGAACTGAAGAAAGAAAGAGGGAGAAAGGAGGAGCTGGAGGAGGAAGAAGGAACTAATAATAAATTAATAATCAGTAGAACCGAACCGAACCGAACCGAACGGAATGAGTTGAGATGACGGAGATATTGGAAGGAAAGAAAGGACGAGAAATTGAGTGGATAAAACAGGGTGGGCCTTCCACTGCGGGGCTGCTTCGCCTAGTTGTAAAAGGTTGTTTTCCTCTGTTTTGCGTACGTGGGCGGAGGCGATTTGTCCACGTGGAGAGCCGTGATGGAACAAGTGCGTGCGGGGAACGGTAAAGTACCAAGTAGTTACATAAGAAGAGTCTAACGTAAGGCACAAGAAGGAAGAGAGGGCGGCAATTTGCAAAAGCAACCCGGTCTGGTGGACTTGACCCGGCCCATTCTGTTTTGGGCAGGTCTTATGTGGTGGATCTTGACCCCGATTCGCACACAAGTCACAACATATCTGGATACAGCCAACACGCACTCGTGGAGCTAGAAGTATTTGGCTCTGTCACGGAAATAATCAGTTGTGGATAAAAATATAATTAATTAGGGTGTGCCTACGGTGACATGCATGTCACGGTGACTTGCACTTTCCGGTCGACGTCATTTAGAATTCGGTCGACCTCATATAGGATCTGGTCGACCTCATTAGGATTCGGTCGACCTAATTTGTTGTTTCAGTGTAAAAACAGTTCATGGTGCCTACTTTGGATATTCATATCATACAATTTGCTAGATGGAAATTGAAGACTAATTACTTGTTTTGAAGCTGGAGTGTTCCTCTACATATTGAAGTGATTGAGAGCTCGATAGGAAGTCCAGAAGATCATTTTTGAACCTCATCAAAAGGATATGCCAAAACTGGGAAACTTCTTGGAAATGGCTAAGTCTGGAAACGTGTTTGTGAAGCCTATTTTGGAGCTCAATTCGAGAAGCATGAATGCGTGTCGAGTCCAGGAGCCTCTACCACGTTAAATTAGGTATGTTTTTATACAAATTCAAGGCATTGGATGAAAGATTGGATATATGTAAGGCTTCAAACAAAAGGGTCGAAGTTGCTACGAAGGCTGTTTTTCTGGCAGACTTCGAGCAAATAGGAGCTCAATTCGAGAAGCATGAATGCGTGTCGAGTCCAGGGGCCTCTACCACGTTAAATTACGTATTTTTTTATACAAAGGCAAGGCATTGGATGAAAGATTGGATATATGTAAGGCTTCAAACAAAAGGGTCGAAGTTGCTACGAAGGCTGTTTTTCTGGCAGACTTCGAGCACAAGCAAGCTGCCAGAAAAACAGCCTTCGTAGCAACTTCGAGCCTTTTGTTTGAAGCCTTAAATATATTCAATCTTTCATCCAATGTAATTTAACGTGGTAGAGGCCCCTGGACTTGACTCGCATCCATGCTTCTCAAATTGAGCTCCAAAGTAGGCTTGACAAACACGTTGCCAGACTTGGCCATTTTCAGGCAGTTTCGCAGTTTTGGCATAGCCTTTTGGTCAGGTTAAAAAATGATCTTCTGGACTTTCTATTGAGCTCCCAAGTACTTTAATGTGTAGAGGGACACTTCAGCTTCAAAACAAACCTTTAATCTCCAATTTCCATCTAGCCAATTGTAAGATATGAATCTCCAAAGTAGGCACCATGAAAATGTTTTTACACTGAAACAACAGATTAGGTCGACCTGATCCTATATGAGGTCGACCGAAAAGTGCATGTCACCGTGACATGCATGTCACCGTAGCAAAGTCCAATTAATTATGATGTACATACTTATAGGAGAATGAACTCTACACAAGAGCATGTTGTCATTGCAAATACAACTTGTGATATTTGTATCATAAACTAACTTACTTTGGCTTTCCTGCTACAACACAACTCATTTGCGACTCTCCCTAGTCTCTCTCCTTGATTCTTGCTTCAGTTCTCCTTATTACTCTTCACAATCACTAATAATCCAATAATATAAAGAGGTTCATCTTGAGCACTACCTTAATTGAAGTTTTCCTAGCTTCTCTGCATATGTTGTGGTCTTACTAAAATTTTAGGAATCGATTTTCTTGCATGGCTTTTATTTTTTACTTTCAGTAAGGACTTCAGTTAATATATCGGATTAACATGTTAAAAATTATACGAGTATGATATTTATAGTAACTAAATGATTTGAAATTCTGTATGGTATGCAATAAAACATGTCTTCCTTTGGACAATTACTATGATTATTTACATTATTATTGAAATTCATATGGCCAATGGGCGAGCCCAAATCTAGTGATTAGTTAAAGAGATAAGCAGGATTACTCAAAAAATCAGGTCATGGAGAGTTAAGAAGTTGAGCACGCGGCAAGACTGCAACTAATTTCTTTAGTTTTATTGGGGTCCTACAATAATGGATACAGGCTTTTTTGCTCCCCAAAAATGTTCTAAAGCATATTCCAAAAAATATGTTCCTCTTATTTTGGCATGGTAAGGAGGAAGGGAAAACAAAGATAGGTTGGGATCGACAAGCCAAGCCCAAGGATAAGGGAAGTTTGGGATTGAATGAGTTGTTTTCCTAGAATCATATCTGCACTAGCACTGCCATGATGCTTTAGATCCTCCTTATGTAGTGCGGGGCAATCTGGGTTGCTCGGATTGGAAAGTATAGGGTTAAATGTGGTAGTATTTGGAATATATGTGTTTGATTCATACTCAATTATACACTTTTTAGTCATTTGAGGCATTTTTACTCCGTGAGGTTTGGTTTTATGCTGGATTTTGTCTCGATTTTGTGCATTTCAGTCTAATGAAAGTGGAACCAACCCCCAAAATCGAAAGTTGGACGAAAGAGCAAAAAATCAGGTCAAAGGGTGGAAGCAGCAGCAGATCACGGGGGAAGCTGTGAGTTCACGGTCACTAAGACCGTGAACTAGAGCTGCTAGCCGTGAACCGCTGGGCGTCCAGGGACATTTTCACTTTCACTAGACTCAAGTTAGTTCGCGGTCGTAAGACCGTGAACTCAGACCATTGCTCGTGAACTCGACTAAGTAATGCGGCGCGTTTTGACTTGAGATCACGGTCCGTGCTTTCAGTTCACGACCGTGAACTAGGACCGTATTCTGAGCCCGATCTGGGTATAAAATGAGGCTTGAGCTGAAGGAGAAAATGGGGGAGACCTAGTGTGAGAAACTTCTTCTTCAGATTTCTAGAGTGAGAAAGTGACGAACCAAAGAAGAGAAGAAGCTAGGGTTTCATCTTCAAGCAAGGATTTGGGAATTCCTTCCCCAAAGGAGGATCTCTTCAACACAAGGAGCAAGGCTAGCATATCCATGATGGTTTTCCTTCTTCTCTCTTGTGTTTTCCCTTATCCTAGCATGGAGTAGTCCCTTATTTAACTTGGGTGTTTGTAAACCCTAGCTACAATTATGTGAATGTTGTTTGTATGGATTGAATGATTTGTGTGTGAATGTGAATTTGGAGGTATTTCATGAAAGATTGTGTTGTGGGTTTGATTCGGGTCCAATTGTACACATTTTACCCCTCATATCTTGATAGTTTGGCTTTGTGACTCGCACGAAACTACACCACAATAAAACCTCAATTAGAGCCCAAGTTTTTAAACTCTAATCGGGTGTAGTATAGGGCAAGTATTTAGATATCGATCCGGGCCGGTCCGTCTACCCTTACTCCAGTTGTTGAAATCATTATCTAGCAACAAAACTTTGGTTTAAAGGTTTGCTAATTGAAATAAAAGAAAACAAAGGTGATTGGGTTTGAAAACTCTTTTGTGGGAAAGTCACTCAGGTGTCGCTTCCCCCTAACCGCTACCATGCTATGTGGATTGGAACGATTGCCTTGAGCACGTTAATCGTGAACCGTAGAGGAATGCATATGTGGTCGGAGACCACAGTCTCAATTGCTAAACCGAGGTAAGGATGAAAGGTCGTGTCACTCGACCCTCTTGGGTTAGACAATCAGTAATTAACTTACTCCCTCACTCAAGTCTAAGGTCGGACGGTTTAGTCACGATTAATCGACTTTCTTAACTCAATATTGAGAGTCTCCCTAACTTAACCTAGTTTAGGTGGCTTAGAAAGCGGAAGGAAAACCATCTCAATTGAGTCTCCCTTGAAAGGGGGATTTTCCTCTCTAACCTAGGCTAAGGTGGCAAATTAGATTAATAGCACCTAAATGCACAAACCTAGGGGTGCTAAGCACAATTATGCACAATCCTTAGGTTTATAAGCACCTAAATGCACAAACCTAAGGATGCTAAGCACAAAACATGCACAACCTCTAAGTTGCTAAGCACAAGCATGCACAATCATGGTGAATAATGCCTCAATCATTGAATTGAACAATACCCAATGACAATCATCCAAAACACATATAAGAAAACTACATGGTAGAGTTAGGGTTTCACTACACCCAAGTGAAAAGGAGGCCTACTCCATGCTAGAAGTGGGAAAAACAAAAGGGGAAAAGGTGGAAACCATCTTTGAGGATGCTCCCAGTCTCCTTGACCCTTGAGTTGAGCTTTCCTTGGGGGAAATCTTCCCAAAATCTGCCTTGAAGCCAAACCCTAACCTTCTTCTTCCCTTTGGTTCTGTTTCTCTCACTAGAATGCTGAAGAAGGTGTTTCACACAAAAGTGGGCTCTCTCCTGCTCTCTTCCTTTCAGCTCATCTTTTAAACCCGAGATGAGCTGAGTTCACGGGCGTGAACCATGAAACGCGTCCGTGAGCTCCAGGCGTGCGCCAAAACGTGTCGCATCGCTCACATCTATTCACGGTCAACTGCTTTTGTTCACGATCTTAGTGACTGTGAACTCACCTTGTGTCAGCAACCTTCACATTGGCTCTGGACGCCTCGCGATTCACGTTCAAATCCTCTTTTTCACGGTCTTGCATGACTGTGAACTCCTTCAATTAGCCGTGAACTTGCTCTTTTTCACCTCTTCTCCCGGTTTTCGATCCTTTTCGCCAATCTTTCGACTCCGAGGCTAGTTTCACCTGTTAAATCCTGAAACACACTCAAACACAAAGAACCTAGCGTAAAACCAACTTTTAGGAGCGAATTTGGCACAAACATCTAAGTAAAACGGGTGCAAAACATGTGCATTTATGCCCGAATCACTCCCCCACACTTAGACGTTTGCTTGTCCCCCCAAGCAAACCATTTCACGTACATGGTAATATTTCAACCCACACAAATACTTTGGGGATAACTCAAAGGGCACGAAGCGGGAATTCTCGATGTTTATTGACAATCAACACATGAACCGTTGCAAGCAATACTGACATCCACCACAAATGACATTCAAAGCCACCAAAACGGGCAAATGAAAAGTTCTCAACTTATTCATGGATAAATGCAAGTCTCAACGAAACCGCTTATCGACCACAACCAATCACGCATGGAATTCAAGTCCGAGGAACAAATGGAAAGGCAACAAAGGTCCTCATTGGGGTATGAAAAGGTAAGTAAAACAAGAATGGATCACCCATTCTCAAGACCAGTGGGGTCGGGACCTTTTAGGTGCAAAAGATGTGCACAATCGTAACCTCTCGGCCTTATCGTCTCAATACCACGGCGGCAACCTCTAAACGCTAGAGTTCACGGGATGGTTGTCACCACTAGCTCGTCCGGAGGTCTAGACACGGGTTCAAATGACTGGCAATTGGCTTGGACATGGGGAAAAAGCTTTTTTTGGGTGGTGGCAATCACGACGTGAGGTTCTACATCTTCAACCTAAACCCGAAGGGTCTATGGTTTCGACTAAAACCCTTCTCTTCAATCAAAGGCCACTAGCATCGGCCAAAACTCTTATCTCTCCCTTCCAACTATCACCCATCATGAACTACCTTGAAGCACTCTTCCTCGGTCAACTATTGCTAGTTCTTTAAGGTTTGGTAGTGAAGGAGTTCTAAACAATGTGGGGGTTTCGATGGCTTGGTTGCCAAGAAACCCTCCTAGAGCATGTACTTTGGTTTTTCGTGGCACTCTACTTTATTTACCCCATTTTAATACCTCTTTTTCGTTTCTCTTTTCTTTTCTTTTCTTTTCTTTTCATCTTTTGTTTTTGAGGGGGGTACTAGAGAGTAAAACACTTGCCACCTAAACATTTAACGACCAATGCTCTCTTTTTGAGGAACTCACTCCAACACTACACTTCATCTCGCATTCCTAGCAAGAACCGCACACAAACCTCCTATGTAGAACCTCTATGGAGACTCAAAGGTGAGAGCTCCGAAACACACGGGCGACTCATGTTTAGACACGAAGAATTCAGACCTCTATACCAGGGTGGTATTTTTTGGTCCTGTATTTTTTTCACAAAAATTTGTAGATCCAATAGATCGTGATAAACTCGTTCCTTCTGTGCAAAAAATTTCAAAATTGACTTAAAAAAGAAGGAGAATAGGAGATACCATATGGTATGGAGGTGGTAACGAATGGTTCGCATTTTTTTCCTCAAAATATATTGAAAATAGATCTCATTTTGTAGAGTATAACGAAATAGTTCCATCTTTGAAAAAGTTTGAAATCTAATAAAAAATGGAAAGAAGATAAAAATTGTTAGTTGCTCAATCCTTAAATCTGAAACCAACTTAAAATGAAAATGAACTTCCCAAATTTAATTATGCACTTTTAGCTTTAGCCAAGGGGATGGACAGTAGGGATGGCAACAAAACCCGAACCCACGGGTACCCACCCGACCCAACCCGGTCAACGCGGGTAAAACCCGGGTTGACGGGTTTTGGGCCGGGTTTGGGTTTAAACCCGCTACACTATTTACTGGGTCGGGTTGGGTTTGGGTTTAGGTAAACCCGCCCACACACATATAGTTACTTTTCCGGCATATTTAATATTCTAAATAATATATCTTCCTTAAGCAACTAATATTCTTTATGTTTGTGGAGACATGTATAATTTGTTCTTTCTAATTGTTTAGAATGAAGTTGATATTATGAAGTGGAGAGTGAAGAAACTTAGTTGACGAGGAAGAAGTTTTCAATTAATTTTATTATTTATAGATGTTTATCTTTAATTTTGAACAATTTGTATAGATCATTTTCGATTTGCTTGTATGCTCTAGATTGATGTTTTTTGTATGATTAATTTGTATGAGAAAATTGATGTTAACTTTTATTTTGAAAGAAACTTGTTATTGTAAAAATTTTACCACAAAAACCCACGGGTACTCATGAACCCGCGGATACCCAGCGAGTTAGGTTGGGTTTGAGTTTTTCAAACCCAACGAGTTTTACCCCGAGTTTTTTTTGCGGATAAACCCATGAATTTGGGTTTGACAAAACCCGCCCAACCCGACCCATAGCAAACATACGAAAGCAGCCACTTTATCATTTCCTGGCGAATCAGAGCCACCTAATTAAAGGCGATCCCGCTCTCCGTTCCCCACTTCTGTGCACATCCCTTTTCCGTCGAAGGAGACGCTCTTCTTCGCTTCTGCTCTCTCTATATTCTCTCATCTTCCAATATCTCTAGGTTCAGCTTTCCTTCCCTGAGAAGAATCAAACATAATGGTGAGTTGTTCTTTTCCCCACCTTCATGTTCTTTTTTTCTTCTACGATTTCAGCTCTGCTTTCCTAGGGTTATTATTCATCTTCGATTTCTGCTGGATTATGAATCTCTCTGCGAGGCCGTGCTTCCGTTAGGGAATATTTCTTTCGATCTGTGCTCGATCTGGCTGTCCCGAACCTGAATTTCGCCCAAACTTCGTCATTTATGCCGCTCCCTGCCGTTTCTTCAGTGAGCTGATCCTAATCTATTGTGTCGACTGTAGAGATCTGATTTGCTCTTCTCCCGTCAAAGTTGGCGTAGATGTTACGGAAGTTGTGCTGAATCTTGAATTCAATTTAGATTTTTGCTAGATTACTCTCATTTGAAATGACACGATTTGCTGTTGTATTAGCTAAATGGATCGAATGCTCATTTAGTGTGTAATTTAGGTGGATGTACTAGAATTTGTCGAGCTGGATCGATGATGATTGCTTCTGTTTCAGTTTCTTGGTGGCGTTTATTGGTAGTATCAATGTAGGGATTGTCAGTATGTTAGAACCGTTTTCTCTTCGAATTGGATTTGACAATTAATCAATGAATCTGATCAGTAGCCGTAAAATAACTTGTGCTGAAAATAGCAGCTTGACTCGTGGTGCAGTGTTATGGAGAAACTGGCTTAGCAGACTTTGACTTAGTATTGACCATGAAGGACTGTATGTTCATGTTACCTTTTAGGCAAATGCAGCATCTGGGATGGCAGTCCATGACGACTGCAAATTGAAATTCTTGGAGCTGAAGGCAAAAAGAACCTATCGCTCCATAATTTTCAAGATCGAGGAGAAGCAAAAGCAAGTTATTGTGGAGAAGCTTGGTGATCCAAGTCAAAGCTACGAGGATTTTGCTGCTAGCATCCCTGCTGATGAGTGCCGCTATGCTGTTTATGATTTTGACTTTGTCACGGTGGAGAACTGCCAGAAGAGCAGGATATTTTTCATTGCATGGTAACTATTGGAGTCTATTTTCTTCTTAAGTTCACACATTCCCGTCATCAGTCATTTATCCTGTCAAATTTCTAGTTTTTTCGTGTGCTGATTACACACATCTGTTGTGGTGGTGCCCTTCAAGGTCTCCTGACACAGCGAGGGTGAGAAGCAAGATGATTTACGCGAGCTCGAAAGACAGGTTCAAGAGAGAGCTCGATGGAATTCAGGTAGAGTTGCAAGCAACTGATCCTACGGAGATGGGGCTTGACGTGTTCAAGAGCCGTGCAAACTGAAGGGGGACCTATACAGGATCATCCCAGAGTGGCTTGTTGCCATTCAGGATTTGCATCTAATGGGCGTGAAATGTTTATATTTTGGTGATGAGTGGAGAGTTTTATGATACTGAGTTTCAGAGTTTGATCTGCTGATCTAAAGTCTTTTTTTGTTCATTCGAAGCTGCATACTGACATTGGCTACATTTTGTTATTTTGTGATCCATAGAACCTCTTTGTGTCTGAGTGCATTTCTTGTAGTTGTATGTCTACGGGCTAATCTGTAACTGGTTGTTTGTGGAGGGGTGAGTTGAAAGGTGGACAAGTGCTGAACCATCCATTCTACTACCTAGGTTGCTGAGGGGGTGCCTCATAGCCTGCAGTTATCAAGTCTTCTCTTGCTATGCACTACTGTTACTATAAGATTTACTTGTGAAAGGTATGGTTCTCTCACATGCATTCTGTTCCTTCTTTGGCTCTTAGACTTGGCAATCAGGTTGGGCTGGGAATATCGGGTTGGGTTGTCATGGGTCGGGTCATGTTGGGTAGGCTGATTTCAAATCAATATTGACACAATCCATCGGATTTTGGGTAAGGTTTCGGGTCATTTCAGATTTCGAATGTTCTCAGAAACAATATCAAACATGCTTTTCATAAATTTTTAACGAATGCAAAATTTTACATATGTATGACAGTAGTTTACCTAGCACATGTCAATTAACAAATGCTCAACTCCTTCCATGTTAATGAAAAGAAATACCAATGCACAAATCGTCAAAAAAACAATCACGAAAGTATTTGTTAATTGACATGGGTCGGGTCATGTTGGGTAGGCTGATTTCGAATCAATATTGACACAATCCATCGGATTTTGTGTCAGATCAGAAACAATATCAAACATGCTTTTCATAAATTTTTAACGAATGCAAAATTTTACGTATGTATGACAGTAGTTTACCTAGCACATGTCAATTAACAAATGCTCAACTCCTTCCATGTTAATGAAAAGAAATACCAATGCACAAATCGTCAAAAAACAATCACGAAAGTAATACTACTACAATAAACTAACGATGTTTGATTATCACTGCACTCCAAAGTTGTATTTCAAATCCTTATGACATATGCAATGGAATGGGTCTAGCAGGTTGACCCACACACTAACCCAACCCGACCCAAATCTACAATTTAATCGGGTTCGGATCATTCGAATTTCGGGTTATAAAAACCTCAACTCATATTCTATTTTTTGGGGGGTTCGGATGGGTCCTGATTTGCTAGGTCTACATTGCTCTCTTGGCTTGGCTGTTCACATCTCACGCTTTTTGTTTATATGTATTGATGATGAGTCTCTGGGTGGGTGGGTTGGTCATTGGTTTAATCAAAATGAAAAGCTTCAACATTCTTAACGTTTTTATAGAGTAAATCCATAGTCAAATCTTTATTTTAAACAATAGCCAATTGGGGAATTCTATAGTACCGTACCTGTACGAATGCCGTCACTTTTCTACCTATTATAGCCGGTCTTTGACTTCCCTTCCCGGTCAGTGTTACGGAAACCAAAAAAAAAATCTCATTTTTCTTTAGTTCAGAATCTTGTTACATTTTTTATAAATACAATTTAAAATCCAAACCTTTCATTTTAAACAATATAATAGCCAAACCTTTTCGAAAACAATCTAATATCCAAATCGTCAACTTTTCGTTCGTTTGGCCGTTAGTTGACACTTCAAAAAAGCTTTGTTTAGGGGAAATTGTCACAATACAACTTTGTTTCTTGTTTTGGCACTGCATATGACTGAATATTTAGATATTCTATACCATCATGGTGGAGTCATGGACTTCTCGGGTTTGGAACTACGATATGTTGGTGGTTTTTCAGAGAAGATATCGATGGATATTGATGAAGTGTCGTACTTCGAACTTTTTTGAAGTGTCAACTAACGGTTAAACAGATAGAAAGTTGACGATTTGGATATTAGATTGTTTTTGAAAAGGTTTGGCTATTATATTGTTTAAAATAAAAGGTTTAGATATTAAATTGTATTTACCCTACATTTTTAGTTACTTTTGTTCCATTTTCCCCACTCAATTTAGCCCCGGTAAAAAATAACAAATGCACATTTTGGTCAGAAACCTCAAAGTTAAATATGAGTTAGTTTTAAAATAATTTTACCGTGTATTAAAAAGTTTAAGTTAATATTATCAATGGCGGAGCTAGAAATTTGAACGAAAAAAAAGGTATAAATTAGCATATTTGGACCGTGTTAACTGAAGAAGCCATAATATTTTACTAATTACTCTATTTCTAAAAAAAAATTATAAATTTTACATGTACTTTTACCGACACTTATAAGTTATACTAGGAGTGGACACGTGACGTGGGTGTTAATCCGCAGTTTGACATCGATCCACCCGAAAATAATCAGAACTCTGGATAGTTCATCTGTGAGTTTGGATAACTTGAATAGTGAGTTCAAGTGCATTTAGGACTATCCGCACGATAGGGGTCGTTTGCTTCTTGGATTTAGATGATGGATTTGGTACCCCATTCCAATCCATTATGAATTTAAGGGAAATCCATTGTTTGCTTGCACTTTTTTAGGGACCAAATCCGTGGGACCCATCGATTTTAAGAGTCAAAATTCGTAGACCTCACAAACTTGTAAATACCACATTTGAATATTTGATATGGGATTTGGAACATCCCACAAATCCATGATGTAATTTTACACATATACCCTCATGAACTTTTAATATTTCAAGGTTGGCCTCACATTTACCTATTGTACATTATAATTAATTAATTAATTAACAAAAACAATATAAATTTTCATAATTTTGTACTTTAGTTCTAAATTGCAAACGGTTAAATCCATGATAAAACATCTCAACAAACAAAAGATTTTTACAAATCCATAATATCTAAAATTCTTGATAAATTCTTAAAGTTTTAAATTACAAGACCCTCATTTTCAAATCCATGATGCAAACGATCCTTTAAGGAAAGGACCGATTGTCTCTCCTACTTAGCTAGCCAGTTTAAATTTTTTATATTTATTAATCAATTTCAGGGGATTTTCCACTCACATATCATCCAAATTTATTCCGAGTAATTTCTTATTTCTTAATCACAAATGGCTTTCTATTTTAAGATTTGAATGTGTCAAAATTGGGGAGCTCCATTTGTAACACCCAACTCCTTTTCTGAATTTAAAACCATTAAAACATATGCACATCATTAGCTATTTATAAAAATCGTTAAACTCTTGGTCCATAACAAAATTTTGGGAAAACTCATCTTCAAATGTCTCATGTAAAACGATGTGGAAAGTTCAGTTTCCCGCCCACCTCGTCACCGTCAAACTTGAACTTGCTTCGTCTCATGGCCTTCAACTATTCGACTATTAATTTGGGAAAAATATTGAATGGGCGAGACGTCACTCAGTGAGTATATCCTAATCTATTAACAATATCAATACCACAATGGTAACGAGTGAAGTTAAATCCCGTCTACTAAGCAATAATCCCTAAATTATATTCCCGTGAGATCTTTTATTTCATTCTTAATTCCCAATTATTACCATATCACCTACTAAACTCCATAATCCGGGGTACCACATACCTTGAGTATGAAAACGCTATCTAGACTTTGAATTGACTGATCTATCGGACATGATACTATACTCTAACTTTTAAAGATCAAAATCTAGGTCTTAATTCTTTAAATCTTATAACACAAGATCAATTTAATTAGAAACAATAATCGACGGTTATGATTCGTCCAAATATAGGCAAAAAATGAATGCACCATCTTAGGGTTTATAGTTTATGATTTAGATAATTAGGACCTAGGGTTCACTCGTTAAGGGTTAGTTTATACTAGCAGACCCAAAAATCCTGCCAATTCGAAGTCTAGATAGCATTTTCATACTCAAAGTATTAGGTACCCCGGATTTCACCCGGGGTACCGTAGAAGCCACCATATATATATGGTGACGTCTATCGTCCACCAGCAAAAAATGGTGGTATGTCGTACACCACCCATCTCTGTCATGCGATCCATCTCAATGCTCGAGATAATTAGCGGGCTCTGTTTAAGTGGAATTATAAATACAATTACAGTACCAGTCCCCAACCCAAAAACGTTACATTCTAATCCACTTTCGTCGGATGGTTGGCTAGGATGTATGAACCAAAGTCATGTTTTGGCCACACGAACCAACCCTCATTTGCAAACCACCAAAACCCTTTTCTCCTCCTCTCGAACCGCCATCCCTTCCTCTATGACGCGTTCTCGTGCTCTTTCTCTCTCTTTCTCTCTCTATGTTCCTATCTCCCATCTCTCACCGCCTCCTCCATTCCGACAAAAGATTCCAATTCAATCGATCCAATTCCAGTCAAGAACTTTGTAATCACGGCCCCGTTCTTCGTTGAATTTGATCCGAGCAATTACGATGCACAAAGACTTTGTTACACCTCGCTCTTCCCAAAGTCAAAATGACTATTATACTCTTGGGTCAAGTACCATGGTAATATCAATGGGGACTAAAAATCTTAACTGTTGGTTTAAGCGGTGTCAAATTTGGACATAAATTGAGGAAGTTAAGGACGTTAATTGAGTTTTGGATTAAACTCAAACGTAATTGTGAGATTCCCAAAATATCCTCTAACTAATTAAACCCTAGACCCTTACTCTACCCCACTCGGCCTCACCCCAAATAGCTAAACCCTCGCAGTCTTACTCTTCCACCGAAAGCAACTTGCTGTCGGGAAAAAACCAAAGCAAACGGCGCCATCGTTGAAAAGGAGGGAGAGACCCGGTGAAGACTAGTCGTCTTAGGTTGTTAGAGCTTCTTCAGTCGGTAGTAGTGAATCGATTATGCGAGAGTTAGTCGATTCACTGCTTTGTACTGGAATTCAGTTCCAGTAGTGGAGTTCTGTGTTCATAGCCTCAGCTTTCTATCCCGGTGAAGACTAGTCGTCTGCCGGGTAGTTTGACTGAGAGGGCTTGGTCAGGTTAAGAGATTCCAAGCTACTGTCGGATCTTCCGCAGTATAATCAATAGTGAAGCAACTAAAAGTAATTACAACTGTGACCTAACTAAGGAGCTAGGGGGACTCATTCCCGAGTGACTCTTCCTTTGCTTTAGAAAACTGAACCATTTCCTGCTTTCTTACTGCATTTAGTTAAAAACACAATCACTCAACTTAGTTTGCTAGATAACAGATATACACGGAGTAGGCAGTAGATCTAGACCCCGGGTTGACAATTAGAGCTTGCCTGTTACTGCATTTCCGGACCGCGATTACACTTGGTCGCAGTTTGGTGTTGCGTTTTAGCGTGTCAAGTTTTTAGCGCCGTTGCCGGGGACCCTCTAGGTTATTGGGGAAACGTTAAAGTTTGTTACTCTACATTTTTCTTTAATGCATTTTCTCTCTTCCACCTGTGTGCCTTCACGGGTTGCTTTTGCTGACTGTATGCAGGTAGTGCATGACCCGTAGCCAGTCGCGGGATTTACTACCGTTAGATCAAGAGCTTGAACGGACCTGTAGGAACTTCAAGCGGGCTCTAAAGGCACGAATGGCTGCGGAGGAAGCTGT